GCCCCCCAGCCTGGCTCCTCCACACCAGGCCAAGATGGTTCCAGGCCTTGCTGTTCCATTGCCTTTGGGAGCAGAAAACCTGGGTGTTGCTTTGCCACAGATAGGCCTGGCTTTGGAAGCACCAGTTCCTACACTGGGATACCCAAAACCCCACTTTCCTCTGCAGAGAGATTACCCCGACCTGCCCCAGCTGACAGCCCTGGTCAGCTGCATCAGCTGGGTCAAGCAAAGCGCAGCTGGGTCTTCCCATCTCCTCCCCTTCATTCCCAATGAACCCCACCAGCCAGGACCAGGCTCCAAGCTGGGGTCCTCACCAGTGCCTGGTAAACCAGGAAAAGCTAAGTCAATCACTTGTTGTGTTCCTTGCTCATAAAAGTATATAGCGTATTTATTCTGTGATAGGATTTGAGAATGTTTCTTCAGTAGCAGATAATGCACTGGGCTGAGCATGCAGCATCTTTTTACTAAGGACCAATTTCACACCATCTGCAGAGAAGTGACCATTCTCCTCAGCTTAGCAGGCTCCATGTAAGACTGATGGGGCAGAGGCCACAAGGGCTGAAAACCCACACTCAGTATAGACCCAAGGGTGCTGTGTGAGACACCAGTGAGCCATGAAGAGGGACAAAGATATTTACCGAGCACAGTCCCATCAGACAAACGAGTAAACAAAAGGGCAAGCAAACCTAATTAAAAAAATACCCTATAAAGAAGTTTTTTGGTCATAAATGGACACCAGGGTGGAAGCATCAGATATGATGGTTGCCAGGTCTTTTTTCCTCCCAGAAGGTCACGCAGCCCTTTGACTTGATAAAGGTAAAGTCTATTCCAGCCTCTGTTCTTTGCCTGCAGAGGGAAATACAGTGCACAAGTCAGTATTTCAGGTGACTGGGGCCAAGGATAACTCAAAAGGTCTTCAGAAAGGATAAAACCAGCCTTTGTTCTACAGCAGCTCCCAAACCATGATTTTGGTAAAAAATAGGCACAGTAATATGAAAAGCTGCACACAGCACACAAAAGGCAACAAACAGAAGTATGTGAGTTCAGGCAATGGCTGAATCACTTTAACATCAGCTGAAGCTTTGAAAATGTGATTAACATATAGTTAGGAGACACTCCTCTGCATCTCTGGAGGAGAGCAGCCAGCAGCAGAGCAGACAAGATGCATAAGTCCCTGTGTGCCATTGTCGATAGGGAGCAGAAGGACTCCAGGTGCTTTCTTGGTGGTGTGGAAAAAAGCAGTTTGATTTTTATGATACTTAGAATAACAAATCCATCAAGATCAGCCAGAAGTAGTCACAAGACACAGATATTCACACCATACGTTGGAATCCTTTGATAAAAGGCTCTGCATCTCCTGTAGCACTTAAAAAGTGGTACCTATTTTTAAATGCAGGCCTCCAAATGATGTTTTGGAGTGGGAAGCAGCATTTACAGCCTAGTTTTGTGGCTCTGATTTGCATAAGACCATGCTCTCACATAGCAGGGGCAATAATGAACTCCATGAGCTGCTCCCAACCAGGTCCAGCTGGCAGCACTGCCTCTTGAGCCATCACAGCCTGGTGGGGGTTGGATCTGTGCCAGTGGAAATCTTCCCTTCAATTGTTTGAGTTTTGGATGAGGACTGACTCGCACAGACCTTTAAATGTGAGCCTCGCTGAGATTTGCTGAAGGCCAGTTCAGCACATGCTGTCCATTTAAAGGTCAGCAGTTCAACAATGAGCTTCACCAGGCAGAAACAGGCACTGGCCAGGATCAGCCATTATCCTTCAGACAGACCATAAATTACTTTATCCTTCAGACTGGGTGCTAAAAGCAAGAACCTGAATGTCTCCTAGACTGTGAGGGACACCTGAAACCTGCATCTTTCTCAGGTGTAGCCAAGGGCTCTTTCCCCTCCCTTCCTTCACAGCTCAGCACTGGCACAGCACCAACCCTAACCCTGCTGCAGCCCCACGCTCAGCCCAGCTCCCCACACCCCCATGTGCTTCCCATATAATCTCAGTTGTTGTTCTAGGCAGACAGCTCTGTTTTTACTTAAGGCGATTCTATGCCTTTCATTGTGTTTTTAATTTTCATTTCACCAAGATTCACTCCCATAACTGTGCTTTCTGGCATCTTCCAGCTTTTGTCCTTTATTTTTACTGCTGGAGTCAGAGATAATTATCTCTCAGAAAGAGTTCTCAGCTGCATTATGTTGATGGTAAGTGCTGTTTTTCCTGCCCTGTCTGATTTTCCATGCAAGATGCTTTTCATATAGCTTTAAGTGTTTTATTATTTGCAAATTGGTTGCCACGTCTCCAAGTTTCCCTTTCCCTGCTGTGGAAAGTGCCAGCATCGCTGTAAGGAGGGGACTGCAGCCTCTGGCAGGCCTGAAGAAGTAATCAGCTGAATCTTGGAGAGAACCACAGAAACCTCCCACAAATGCAAGCAGCTCTGGGGCACTGTGACCTCCCCACTGGTACCACAGTATCTTTGAGCACCTCTGTCTGTGGACAGCCAGGGCACGACTCCCTGAGAAACAGCAATGGGATCACAGGCTTCCCTACAGCCAGCACATTCGGATGCTAGTACACAGGCTGTGACACCTCCATCCTTAACAGCACATTATCCAGTATAACATGGAGATCCTCAAGCCATCACTTCTGCTGCCAGCACTGGGAGATGCTTGGGCAGCAGGGAAGCACTGGTGAAGGCCAGGACTAAAGCAGATCCTGATGCCATCAAAAGTACGAGTTGGACCTAGCCAAGACTGCCCTCCAGAGCGTCTTTTTCTCCAGGACAGGAAGCTCCTGAAGATGCCACATGAATATCCAACCATGAATAACATCTTCAGAAAAACACCTTCCTTCTCCTTTCAGACAGAGGATATACACATTCCCCAGCCTCTCCATCATTATCCTTCCCAGCACTGTTGCTGCCTACTCACATTTTGGACCACCAGTTCTCAGCTGCTTCTTCAGCCACCTTTACAGGTCCACAGTGGCCTCGCTGGTCCTACACACATATTACACAGGGCATACAATAAGCTCTCTCACATCACTTATTGCACTAGTACCCAAAGTTGGTGGAGCAGGCAACTGTAAGAGAAGGCAAGAACATTAAAACATTGTCCCCACATTGTCACAGCAATCACAAAAAGTGCAACAAGGTTCTTGTTCCCTCAGCTGACCCTGACGCACATGCCCTACATGGGACACTTGTCTGCCTTCAGCCAAGTTAGTGCTGTAACCTCAGCATCTGAGTGTTTTCCTCCCTGCCTACTTGTCAGGTTCCTCCATTGCTCATCTCTCAGCTCCGCAATACCTCCAAGCAGGTCTGTGCCCATACAAGACCCTCACACTATACAACATCCCACAGGCTTGTGAAATAATAGTCAGGTCACTACAACAGAGCAAGCACTACTGAGAGCCACTGCCAGCTCAGCAGTTTTATTTTCAATCAAAGCAGCATTTTTTATTTTTTGTAATAGCTTTCCCCCCTTTGGCATTTTCATTAGGAGACCAACAGGAAAAAAAGCCCTCAACAATCCCATAGTGAACGTCATAAGCAGCCTGACACCTGGTAATGAGAATTTCAAGCTATGGGCTGGCACTTTTATGGTATTTCTAAACCGAGCACTCAATCAAGTGAACTTAGAAAGAATGGAAAGTTGGTTACTCCCAGGCATATGTCTTAAGGTTTTTCATCTTCTATTTCAGCAGTGGAAGAATACAGTACAAATAAGGCAGGCAAATACCTGGCAAGTAAATACTTTTGCTGCAACATAATTATTCCCCTCAATGGAAAGGCTTCCAAGACAGCTTGAGACAGTACTCAGCATTCACAGCTGACCTGAGAACTTCTTGGCCCCTCATTTGAAATGTCTCATGATTTTTCTTAAGGAAACAGAGCTCACACAGTCCCTTATTTTGTCCTCCCAGTTCTCTTCCCTTCCCCAAACAGCTCTGAAATCCACCAGCCAGCTTCACTCAAGGACTAAACAGGACAGTAAAAGTCCAGGATCATCCATTTCCAAATGTTCTTATATTAAAATGTATGCATAAGAGATGAGAGATATTACTGCTGTTGCACAGCAACAACTCAAAGAAGCTGTTGCGAGGGGGCCCTTCACCCCGTGCCACCTGGCAGCTAGTGTCTGCCCAACACAGACACCCTCAGCAAAGCTTTCACTCCTTCCTGAGACTTGGGGAAGAAATGGCACTCAAAGTGGGAAGCAATTCTCTAAGGGTAAGAAACCCCAAGCCCCACGAACTGGGAAGGGGCAGGGCAGCAGGAGGCTGCCAGACCCTGACTGAGCCAGCATGATGGAGCAGGCTTTGGGCAAGTGAGCAAAAGCTCCTCCCTGCAGAGCTTCCACCACCACTCACAGCTAAAAGCACCAGGCATGGCGGCACCTGAGAGCACCCAGCACACAAGCACAGAAAAGCAGGGTAAGAAGATGATAAGCATGTTCCTACCAGCAGAAAGACAGGGAACCTGCACATTGAACCTTATCTCCATCGCCAATCTCCACTTGGAGCACCCAACTCCTCACAAGACAATAAAGCTTTCACCCCACCACCAACACATCTGCAACTAAATTCCTGTGAGATAATTGGGATGTTTCCACTCCCCTCCCACTGCAGCCACAGCTCACTGAGGCACCCAAAAGTAGAGCAGAGCCACCACAGCAGGCAACTGCTGGGCATGAAGAAGGGGGAGAAGAGTCAGCCTCTTTTGCTGTTGTCTCATTTGTCTCCTGGTTGATGCAAGGAAGGGAAGGGTTCTCTCAAAGCAGAGCCATGGTTCGGCCACTCACTCATCTCCCACAACAAATGATGCCATCCAAATGTCAGTGCTAATTGCAGAGAGAGGAAAATCATCTGCATTCTGCCCATAACAATCCATTGTTATTTTTATGCACGCACACACAGACATGAGTAAGGAACCTTCTCATTTCAAGCTGTGCTATTATGCTAACTAGAGAGAAATAAATATGCCACACTGTAGCTAATAAGTGTCATTCACATCAGTATTTATTCCAAACATGTTTCCCCCATCATGTCTGTTCTGCCTGGAATTGCTCATCACTAAAGAGGAGACCTTTATTTCTAGTGATTTAAGCAGACAGGAGAGAGTTAGCAATTAAAGCACACTTTTGTACAATTTAATTCTTTTAATTTCAGCTATCAGGGAGCGTTGTCTGCTATCACTGTACCTTTCTATTTCTGGAACCATCACCTAGCAGCACTGGGCTCGTAATTCACCAGTTTGCAAGATGGGTTCTCCCACCTGAGCATGGGAACAGGGCTGACTCCTGGCGAGCAATGGGCTTGTGGTTCTCAGCTCCATGCCGTGCAATGTAGGACTGGGTCTCTATGAGGAAACAGGCTCAAGAGTAATTTTCATTCATGCCCAGACACATTCCTGTACCCCAGCTCCCTAACACCCCACCTGCATTTCATGCTCACCCAGCACCTGTGTTAGTTGGTATCTGTGGGAGACTGTTGCACCGTGAGCTGCCCTGGTGCTCCCACAGCCACAGTGGGAGCTGCCGGCAGCCGATCCAGGCACCTTCAGTTGCTCCCTTGAGGGATTATTTCTGTGCTCATCAAAGGCTGGTGAGGACTAAATGTCATTCAAGAAAAGTACTTCAGAGCTAAAAATACTCTCCTGATTTTTGCTTCCTTCCCAGAGCAAACGTCTGCTTGGCAGGTAGCAGGTGAATTTAGTGGTCCTATGACACACGTCTCATCATCTGCCTGACAGCGCTTCACACGCACAGTAAGGCATCACACCAAGCTCAAACTCCCGCTACCTGGGCTGAACTATAACCATTTTTCACATTAAACTGGAAATAGGACTGAGTCAGAAATCCTCCACTGGTGGTGGGAAACCAGCAAGGCTTTAACTGCTGCCCAAGAGGGGCAGGTCCACGGGCCAATCCACACTACATAAACAGAAGCAATGACCCACAGCCCACCCTGGTCAGGTAAAAATGGTTTCAAGTCTCAGGAGCACAGATACTTCACTGCGGCTGATGTTCCTGCGCTAAGGAATGAATCCAAAGGACTGAACGAAGGCCAGAGCTAATTAGCAGCCCACGCAGACTTGTGGATTATATGTCGAGGATCCTGTTATGCAAGAATACAGCTGGGCATGTTATTGCAAGTGAGGAGACAGCCATCCATGTGAATTGCAGAGGTGTGGGGAGAAAAGGAAAAGAAAATCCTTCCATTTTCTCTCTTTTTCATTTGTACAGTTAAGGGCCTGGTTTGTAAAGATATGAAAACCTAAAGTTCTCATTGATGTCCCTGGACTTTTCTCTTTAAAACTCCACAGAACAGTGGACCAAATACCAATTAGGCTCCATCCATAGAGCTAATGAGACTGGGAAAGTACCCCAGAGGTGGGTTTCAGCAGCAGCTTTTCTTTTGACCTCACTCATCACTTGCTTTTCTCCTGCTCCCAGATATAATCCTTGTTCCTTCCTGCTTATAGCCTGAAAGCACAATTTACTTGCATCAGTGGAAGACAACAAGAATGGTTATGCCACATTTCTTCCCCACAATAGAAGGGGCAAATCCTGCTCTAATCTAGCTGGGAAGATGAAGACGGCAGGGTGTTGCACACACACATTTCTATCCAAGATCACATACCAAGTATTTTGCTACTCCTGCCTTTTTCTTATTTTCTTACATTAGGGCAAGAGAGACATCTAGAGATCATAGGCAGGGGATTGCAAGCTTCTGGAAAAACAGTTTTCTGTGTAGCACGATGTGTTCACAGAGTGGGAACAATAAATAAAATGAATGAAATATGAAACAAATTGACTCCTGGTTATAAATAAGTAAGGCCCAAGAGGGAATAGCAATGGATTATAGAGTAGCAGGAACACAGTCTGTTTCTGTGGCTTGCCTTCACACACCACCCCCAAACTGTGAAGAAAAGCACCTCCTTGGAAGACAGAACTTCTGAGATGGGTCACATACCCTGCTAGGGCAGCCTGTCCAAAAGCAGACGATGCTCCTGGAATGCATGCACAATGATTAACTGCAGTACTAGCAGATAAAACTTCAAATAAAATGGAACTAAGCTAGACCTGGAACTTGAATGCTGCCCTTTTAATCCCAAAGCAAAGGCACACGTCCAACCCACCAGCACAACTGCATCAACAGCATCACTGTTTTCAAGCCAGTCACAAGAATGATGAGACGGGGTGTCCTGTGCTTCCCAATGCACCAACAGTGTAGATTTTAACTTGTGCTCCCTATATAAATACACACAGGTCCATGTTAGCAGCCACACAGTGGGCAGGAAAATTGCTAAACCCAGCATAGTCGGATCAAGAACAGGACAGCTTTCAAAACCATGGGTACAACTAGGTAATGGTAGGTACCAGGCCAACCTGATTACAGAAAGGGTGATCCTAGCAAAGCTCAAAACTCTCACTACCTTCACCAGAACCACAACATTTCTTTGTACATGTTCTTGTCTGTTTCTTGTGCTTTGGTGAGATTACCCTTATGTGTCTCATACAGTAAATGAAACTGGATCAACTGGAAAATAAGGAAGTTTTATGCCTCCAGACTTCCTCATTTGGTTTGCCTGAGAACAGGACAAGGTCAATGGATTCTTTTCTCCCCCAGCAGAAGATGCACCTTTGCGTATCAAGCAATAAAGTCTGCCCAGTTATTCTAATCACTTGGTATGTCAGCATTTCTTTCTCTATATAAATAGTTATAAACAAGACCAAATTAATCCAGGTCATGAGCTGGAAGTCAAAACACAACGTACCAGAGCAAGGAGATGGTGAACCGAAAACCAGATACTTCTCTTTCTTAAAAGAACTGCGTGAGTTAAGTGGCAGCTCTTGAGCAGAGAAAGCTTCAGAGGCAGGAGCAAGAACAGAGGCCACCAGCTGTTGAAACTCCTTGGCTCTACTAGAATAGTTCTCTGGACTAAACTGTGATTAAATCCACCCAGATATTTACTGGGAGCCTGATATTTGCATTAACTGGCATTAAGACACTGAACAATAGCCTTGTCTTAAATCTAAATTAAATAGCGTTAGACAACACAAAACATCTTGTTATTTCAGAGCATGCAATTTTAATTAAAACCCCCAAAATAATGGCTTGGGCAGTCCCAGATCCTTTACAAACAAATGGTGTCTTCTGTCCTCTACCATCAGCCTCATCTGCACATCCTGACCTGCACATCACCATGCTCCCTGCAAGCAGGACCCCACACCAGCCATGAGCATCTCTTCATTCTTTCACTGCTGTGGAATAACTACTCAGTGCAAAATCCACTGGCGCAAGTTCTAAAGCCTCGCTTACCACTTCAGCCTGTTTTCTCTCCCTCCTTTCTGCCACACCACCGCACACATCCTTGTCTATTGCTGCTGGCTTTCATCTAGAGTCTGGTAGGCAAAAAGAGACAGGAAGGTAACTGTTTGGACACTGGAGATCCAGGTGTAATTACTGCTTGCATTTCTGGTGCAAGTAACTGGTGCATGAGTTTGAGAAACAAAACACACGGAGCTGACTCAATTACCTGTTGTGCAAAACAAACAAAAGGATGAGAAGGAGAAAGTGTATTTCCTGTGAAGCCACTGTCATGCACCAGGCTTCTTACCCTGTTGGGGTATTTTGAAGATCCACAGTTATCTCATCTCCCATATTATCTTAAACCAGGCTCTGTTGCATCAAAGACAGAAAAAAGTCTCTTTGTGAGCCAGAGTACGGGAGAAGTCAGGGTGGTTAGCAAGGAGCAGGGAGACCAGCAGCAACGCCAAAGCCTCTCTGGACGCCTCTCCCACAGATCGCCCTCGAAGTCGGATGCTGCCATCTGCTGACAACGTCTCTCTGCAACAATAAATAGATACTCCTTAATGCGGTTTGAACAATGTTTCATCCTGTTCTCAAACAGTGGCATAAGGAGCAACGGGTATCTGGAAGTACTGATCATGTATCTGACAGGAGAAGTGAGAGCAGGCTGTACCCCACAGATGGGTCAGCAACCTTATCCCAGCTACTTAACACTTTTCATAACTCAAACCAAGTTCTGACCCCATTTCACCACTTGTGACTAGGATTACTGACATTGACCTTCTTGTGATCAGCCAAGCAGGTACAGAGGGGACTACAGGCAGCTCAGCATCACCATGCACTATCCATACTGTAACACAACAAGCCTCCCCACAGCACAACAGCCAGGCAAGCAGCTGTGTGAGCACAACCTAGGTGTTGAGGTTTGACTTAAGCAGAAGCAAACCTCCAGCCTAAAGGCTGAGGCTTTTCTCTACACCTGGAAGGGTATGGAGGTGACACACCACTTCCAGACTCATTCAGTGTTAAGACTGAAGGTATCCAGGATAGCACCAGAGGGAAAGCTTGGTAATTCCAGTGGTTGTTTGCAGCGGAGATGCTCCTGAGGAGCCACCCACCCTCACAGGTTTCCTCATGGGAGGGTCAGCTGCCCCTGTCCCATTGGGAACTCCTCCACCACCAGCATTCTGCCCCTGCTCCACTGCTACCAAACAACCAACACCCTGCCTTCATTGCCAGTTGCAACCTGTACTGCTCTTTCAGCTTCCACTCTCACCTCTCCCTATTAATCCTTTTATTACCCAAAATGACAGTTAACCTTTACCTATAAACCGCTTTCCCAAGGCACATCCTGCAGCTCACATAACAGCACTGGGGCTTAAAAAAACCCCGACAAACCACTTTCAGATTTAAACATGTTTGAGAATCACGAATTTCTGCAAAGCAGCTGTGTTGCAGGGTACACACCCTAATCCTAGTCCTGTGTGTCAGCTCCCATATCCTACTTCAGGAGTTCCCGGGATCTCATCACCAGTTGCCCAGGAATAAGGCTGTCATCAGTGAGGCACAAGCTCAGAGATCCCCTTGAATTCACATCAGCTGCAGTGAGCCAGCAAGTAGTCACATTTTTAGCTGTGCTGTGAAAAATGCACAGCTCCTGCTGCGTGCTACAAGTCATTCTTTCTACATTGGAGCTCTAATTTCCATTTAATAATCCTACAAAAGTCTTTGGGCTGGCTTGTGAAATAAATTAAGAGTCTATTCCCAAGTGCTCCTTAAACTCAAGAGTATCAGGAATCACTGTCACTTCAAAGCCTCTGTGGTGGGGAAGGACATACACAGGTAACTGGTTCAGAACTGATGTGTGTGTCCTGTATAAAACTGGTTTAAAACATGAATTTTGGACCAGCAGGGAACTTGAAGCTCTAGTAAATTCATCTAAAGAAAGCCTTAAAGTGCCACTGACCTTCTTCCACCATGTATCAGAAACTTGTCCTCTATTCTGGACTGAGTCAAGATGGAACAGTGGAATCTTCAGAGTTACTCTGAGCAAGAAATACAATAGCTTAGGTGTGCATCAGCATTTAGTACTGCAGAATTATCTCCACTAATGATACAAAAAAACCCACAACCCAGTAATAAAAGAGCTCATTTGACAAGAAAAAGGGGTCAAGGCAGACTTCTGACTTTGCAACTACTCTTTGTAAGTTAATATACAGATCCTTTTCTTCAGTTAAGCAGATTTGTTTCAAATCAAACTGAGAACTGTACTGATCACAGTTGAATGCTCTGCTGCCACCTGCAATCCACACACTGTGACCTTAAACAGCAGGTGACCAAGACAAAACAGGTAAAGTAGCTCTTTCTATTATTCCCCTCATCTTCTCGGTCATGGTGCAAGTCCCTGTTACAGGATGCTGGCATGCACCCCAGAACACAAAGCGTGAGCACTTGCACAGCTCTGCTGCTGGCTCCTTGCTCCTCAGGGAAGAGCCACCACAGGTGAGACTGTGCTACTTGTCCACGAAGAGTCAACATCTATTTGTCCAGCAGCGACATCTTCCCCTTTTCTGCCCTGCAACAGGTTACATAGTTAGGAATACTTACTGCCTGAAGAAAGTCACTTCCACCCCAAGGCTCTTTGTGTCACCTTCCCAGCACAGCCCCTCTGACTTGAGCAACTATAGGTATCAACAAGTCAGGGCATACTGCCAAGAAGGAAAATTGTTTCCAACTGTCTGTTATCATGAGAACCACCAATTCAAAAGCTTTCACAGCATGATGAAACAGGCTTCCTACATTTCAGTTGGCTCCTTCCCAAAAGACTCCAAACAAAGCAAAGCAAGGCATTTCCAGCTGCTGCTAAAGGACAATGCAATCGCCCAGAAGCTTGATCCCCATTCCACACCATCTGCATGCAGCTCCTCAGCCCCAGTCACCTGCTCTTGTACTGCTTTGAAAGGTGTTGATTTTTCTGTGTTGAGTACATTACACTCTTATCCATCAGCTGCCTGAAACAAAGAGCAACAACTCATTCAATGCTAAATACTCAATATGTGCAAGCTCACGCATCCTTATTGTCCCACTCCAGAAACTTAAAAACTCCTAGTGACATCTTCATTCAAACATACAAAGCAGCTGCACACCAACTACCCCATTCAAAATGCCTGCTTCAAAGGACTTTCAAAGCAGAAGTCTTGAGAAAAAAATCCACCTGTCGAGTACTCCTTAGCTGCAAGATGAGGAACAAGTTTGTGATCTGAAATCAAGCTTCAACCATCCTAATTATCCTACAGTCCTACATCTCATAACCTTTTTAAACATAACCAGGAAATACCTTCTGGCAAGGCATCTTCTATTATCACCAACAAGTGAAACTACAGAGTCCCACATATGTAACTGGAGACACACATACTTAGCACCTGAGAGGTGACCCCATGGCATAATAGTGGGTACATAGCTTAGCGCAAGAGCTTCCCTGTGGAGGTCATTCTGCACAGCAACCTGTAACTGTCCCACAGGTTATAACCATTACAAGTAGGTTATACCGTTAACAGAAATAAAAGTTGTGATCGGGGATGGTGTGGAACCCAAACGTCCTCTGAAGTTGGAACTTGAGCACTACTGAAGAGCTGTCTGTTACAAACACTAGCACAGGTAGTGTTTGAAGTCATTAAAATACCGACTGGAAACACCAGAGTCCGTTCGAACAATTTATTAGTATCCTCTTTTTTTACAAGTTTTAGAAAAAGAATCCCAGGATTTTGCCTCCTGTGTGTTTTCGCCTAGCCTCCTCATGGTCCATGATGCCAGCTGAGGTTGTCAGAACAATGTACCTGTGAAGAAAGAACAAATGTTCAGTTGACGGTTCTGTCCTCCACTCACGTTGAGCTGACAACACTAACTTCATTTCTGTATGTACAGTCATGTTGTATTCCTGTCTGTAATTTTAATTACAACAGCAACCTCTGTTTCTCTAAGAAAGGGCCTAATGGAAGTAAAGTCAGGTTATCAGACTATAACTAACTCCTCTCACAAGTACAACTCTGCAGCGTGTAAGAAACCCCTATAGGCTTCTGTTCTCCAAATATTTGTGTCTCAGCAAGATGGTTTTTTGCACATTCCCACTGTATTCAGCTCTTGTAGCAGCAACAACTGCAGAGTTTCTAGACAAAACCTAATTCTGTTTTACAAAGACATTTTTCTTCAGAGCAGGTAGAGTTGCCACTGTGGCAGACAGCTCCTCAACTCAGAACACTTTGCCTCTCCACGTTCTGAGGTTAGATGAGCACCTGGATCCAGACTGACACGTGAAGCAGACTTTGCCACTACTAACGCCAACATCTGGATTATCAGCCTACTTCACCCATACAGCTCCAGGTCAAAGAACCTCTTGTCCCACCACTACAAATACTATTCTGCCTTCCCAGTATTTGACTCAAGTGAAATACACTGCACAACAGGAAGATTTTCTATGTTGTGGAGGTTTGTTTAACAGAGGCTCTAGTCTCTCATCACCTGATACTACTCAATTTATACACAATCAGGAAGTTTAATTTAAACTATTATGAAACTTACTTCCACTGACCTGGTAATTTACATCACTCCTCCCACCTTCTATATATAGCCATTAATACAATTAAAATCATAGGATCACAGAATGGTTTGGGTTGGAAAGGACCTTAAGATCATATAGTTCCAAACCCCTGCCATGGGCAGGGACACCTCACACTAAACCATCTCACCCAAGGCTCTGTCCAGCCTTGGCCTTGAATACTGCAAGGGATGAAGCATTCACCACTTCTCTGGGCAACCCATTCCAGTGCCTCACCACTCTCACAGTAAAGAACTTCTTCCTTATATCTAAGATGAACTTCCCCTGTTTACATTTAAAACCATTTCCCCTTGTCCTATCACTACAGTTCCTGATGAAGAGTCCCTCTCCAGCATCCTTGTAGGCCCCTTTCAGATACTGGATCGTGTAAGATCCATTTTCCCAGTAAACTATAGAACTGGTGAGACCAGGACTTACTAAAGCCAAGCAAAACCAGGGCCTTGCTTAGTTTTAGTGCCCTTTAAAATGGGTTAAAAAGAGCATTTATATGGAAGACTGATTTTTAGACTGGTATCTACCTCCAGACTGATGACAGAGGAAAGGTGTCAGGCAGGCCTCATTCAAAATGTATTAAAAGTGCAAGAAAAAACACCCACATTTTTACATACAACAGGGATTTAACTTCCTCTCCATACTCACCCAAACTGACGTGAAGGCAGCAGGTTGTTCTGCCATTTTTCCAAATCCTTCAGCTGAACATCAAATCTGGGACTGATTACACCACACTGTAAAACAGAACTCCATTACAAACTGAAGAACTTTATGAACTGGATTTGCACATCTGTCATTCCCATTCACCGGATAAAGGAATTTAACAACTGCAATTAAAGTATTTTTGGCAGCAAAAGATCAGAGTACTAAGAAGCCTGTTCCATTACCCGCAATATACACAGGCACTTCTACTCAGGTAAGTCAAGACTCTCTCACAACTACTCAGCTTTGACTTCCTGAGCAGCCTTGCCTCCTCATAACCTCCTCCTCTTCACTTAAGAGTGACTTACACTTACACTGCTGAAGCTAAACTAATAACGGCTAAACCTGGGAGAGCACAAAAGCATACTACAAATCACTGAGGATTATTAAGTATCCTGTATGATCCATAAGAAGTCCTGTGACTGCTCAGGGATATTCTACTTCTAATCAACTGCTAGTACTGCCTCCAGTTACCTCACTGGCTCCAACTACCTTAGTAACTCCCCAAGAACAGAACAGAAGCACACCTTCCTGCACTGAGGGCCATTCTTCTGAACCAAACAACTGCTCCCTTATTGCAGATTTTGAGATAAACATTCTATCCAGCTGCACTCCAGATCTGTTACAAAATCATGCCATGAGTTCAGGCAACACTATACTCAAATCTGACATACTTTATTTTACAGATACACACCACTAGGAACCTGAGTGGCTTCAGAAGTCTGCATGTTACACTCAAGCAATGTTCACCTGCAATTTCGTCATGGAGATAGCCCCCATGTCCTGACCAAGTAGTTCTCATAGAACCATAGACTGGTTTGGGTCAGAAGGGACCTTAAAGCTCATCCAGTTCCAACCCCGTGCCATGGGCAGGGACACCTTCCACTCGACCAGGTTGCTCGAGCCCTGTCCAGCCTGGCCTTGAGCACTGCCAGGGATGGGGCAGTCACAGCTTCTCTGCGCAATGTGTGCCAGGGCCTCACAGTAAGGAATTTCTACCTAATATCTAATCTTTTTTATTTCTTCCCTGAAGAGCCACCTCTCACTTGAATAGCTTAACTGGAAACCACAGTGCACAGCAAGTCACCACAGAACTAGACAGCTCACTATTTTGAGACATAAGCATTAAAAAAAAATCCAAAACACACACAAATACTTCAGATGCCCAGAACTTAAAAAGCAAACATTAACACAACATTCAACTTTCCCTCAACTACAAGCAAAGCCCATCTAGTGGCAGAAGAAAGGCTTGAATCCTCAGCACTTACAGGTATCAAACATCAACCGGAAAGCAGCTCAGTTCCTATCTCTTAAAGAGAGTCTTCTAGACACCTTAAACATCAAAGAAAGTGGGAACTCACTAGGTAGCCAGAAAACCCTTAAAGAGAGAGAAACACAGCACACTTGCAAGCAGGCTTCCCTGAAAACGTATCTGACATATTCAGCGTTTAAAAGAAACTTAACTAGTCACCCATACCATTATGAATCCAGAAAACTTAGCAAGCATTCGATAACCACTGATAACACCCATATTATCTCATTTACATGGATCCCATAAATACGACCTCCCTTTCAGAACCAGAGGACACAAGTAATTAAAATAAATTAAGACATGTTTCTAGAGAACTGAATTCAGAAAGACAAATCCTACCTTGTTGAGTCTGCCTGTGAGATTGACAACAATCTTCCCAGCTCTGTGGTCATCAATTATCTCAAATTCACCAATGTAACCTACAGAAGATGAGGAAACAGACAAATCAAACATGTAACATTCAGCTACATTAATATAACTCATTAATCTAACTACGTTGTACAAAACTAGTTCAAGCATCTTGATTTGCTTTTAACCAAAAAACCCCTCAACACAACAGCACCCACAGAAGCCATGACAGGAGCCAGCACTGCACACTCTGCACTTACCATGCTTCATCATCACAGTTAAAAACCGGACGATTACTTTGGAGCACGGCCTAATGAGAACTTGACGTTTCCCACGTTTCTCTGCATTGTTGATGCTTTTGAGAGCATCGGCTAGAACGTTCATGCGCACCATGGTGCCTGCAGGGAAGAGGAGAGGCAGTTATGGACACCGGCCTTCCAGCACAGAAATGCTGAGCAGCACCAGTTCTTAAAAGCCTAATTTTAGACCTAAAAGACATAACACTGACAGGAAGTGACATTAAACCTTAAAAAGCTCTCTTAGGCTAAAAAGCAGATTAAAACACATACGTCTCAAGAGAATTCGCTATTATCATGACAAGTCAGGGAATCTGACACACTTACTTGAACTTAGCTTTATCAGCATGCACACATAAACATTTAAAACCACCATCCAGACAACATTCCATGGGTATTACACCTTCAACAGGTGATCGTTTGGCACTTTAAAAGACAGTTATGCAGTATTAGCTCTGTTCTAAAACTAGTCCATAGCTGTTATTAAACAGATACTGCTCAGATTGCTTATCCGGAATAACCCTGCAGGATGCATGCACAACACAGCACTCTGAGAAGGAAAAGAGGGATACAACTCTTTAATTCTCGTGATAAAGTCAAGAGCCCCCAGACTACCACAGACCACGACATGCCTTGGTACTGTCGCCCTGCCACAGAGCCTGAGCACTGCCACAACTAGCCATGACGGTGCTCCTTCACAGGGGCCACAGGGCCATTCCCGAGACGGCCAAGTCCTGCAGCACATGAAGCTTTTACCACTGAGCCAAGGACTCCAGACGAGCACACGTCGTTAACTGCTGCCCAGGGCCCGAGTGCAGCCAGACCCCCGCCCCGAGGGCCGCCTCCTCTCCCAGGGCCCAGCACATCGCCCGCTCCCCGAGCCCGCCGCTACCTCTTCCCAGCCATCACGGTTCTCACTCGCCTAAGTCCACAGACTCCACGGTGAAGTCCCCCCGAGCCCTGCCCAGCCGGGCCCGGGCCTGGCTGCCACGCCAGCCCCCTCCCCACTGCTCCCGCCCCGCATCTCTGCGGAGAGCGGAGCCACAGGCAAGAAGGTACTTCCCCCCACCCTCCACTCGGCGGGCTCTAGAGCGCGATAGGAAACGCGCCGGCGGCTCAAAACGGGCGGGACGGGTCGGGCGGACCCTCGCGGCCCGGACGAGGCGGTCAGAGGCGGCCGCGGTGCTCGGATGGGGCCGGAAGGCGGCGGATAGCAACCGGGACCCAGCGCCATCCCCCACTCACCGGTGCAGCAAGATGGCGGAAAAGGAAGAGGCCGGGCACCCGCGCGGGATTATGGGAGAGCCATGGGAGCCGGGTGGCGCTCGGCGCGAAACGAGCTGTCGCGAGATTTGGCGTCCCAGTCCGGTGGCGGCTCGCGCCAGGTGTGGTCATCCTCATTGGCCGAGAGCTCCGAATCGCACTTCCGGAGCGACGCCGCTGCCCAGGTTCCTATAGCAACCAGGACGCTTCGCGGGGGTCTGGGCGCGGCGGGCGCCGGCTTCAGCCGGAGGCAGAGGATTGCACGTCCCGCGGTCCTGATCTGCAGCACGTTTCACCCGTTCGGTCCAACGTGCCCACACCCGCCCCTTTTACCGGTGTTAGTCAGCCACGGGTGACATGAGCCCTCCCCTCTGCAGCAGGAGCGGCCAGCGTACCGCCACAGCAGACAGCAGCTCTGCTCTTCCCAGAGAGCTGTTTCAAACACAAGGTGTGCACAGCAAGTACAAGTGCTTACAGCACTAAAACACTTCCAGCTCCAGTTCACGAACGAAAGATGTATTTTTCACAAAGAAAACTAACGAAGAACTTACGGAAGTTTCTCTTTAATCTGTATTTACCTATTGAACAGTTACAATGGACACTGAGGAGAGTTCATTTTAGAACAGTAAACTTTTAAAATATTAACACAGGTTTTAGCAGTTTAAAGAAAAAAAGTTCAGTTTTTAAAAAAGGAAGGAGAGGTCATAGAAAAGCACAAACAGTTCAGACAGGCTTATTTACAGAGACAACCCTAGCATATTCAACTGATTTTGTTTACAGACAACAACATTTATAAAACCAAACATGCTACATGGCTCCATGATAACAGCAGGTTTTCAAACAATCAGCTGTTAAGGTAACACACCTTAACTCATTTTCATACAGTCTCAGTGCAACAAGTTGAAGTTTACACTACAGCTAAATGACTGAACTACAGATTTCTATATTCCAGACCCCTGTTCAACAAGTTTCTCAGTATATGCAGCCAGAAAAAAAAGCAAACAGGTTCAGCGAGACAATGGGATCACCTTCTTGCACCCTCAGCTATCATCCTTCTTACTCAGCTAATGGTCCCCCATTCCACAAGGATCAGTAGTCACAACCTCCCAAGAAAAGTTAGCTTTCAGAACTTTTAAGCCTTTCATACTTCCTGTAGCCACACACTAATGATCAGTGAATTGAAAACAGCTACAGAAATGCTATCACATTACAATTCAGCTGATAGTCAAGTGGGGCGTTTATTCACAGGGCCTCCTAGTTTGGGGAAGACACTGAACAGGCTCCATACATCAACAGACAGGATCTTTCACACAAGATTAACCACAGGCTGCAGAACCCCAGTCAGCACAGCAAGAAACACAAACCCCCAGAAGTTGCTACACTGACATTTTCACTTTATCAGGGAGCCAGTAAAAAAAAAACAACAAAAGCCAGTGAGCAATACAACTTCTACTGAAATTATACAATAACTCTCAAAACTGTTCCCCAGGAAACCTTTTACAAGAGTGAAGAACAGCAGTTATGTCTTCATTCATTTTTCTTTTCCTTGTGCTTGAGAAGTTTGTTAATCTCCCTTTTTGCCATTCCAACATACTTTGTGATGATCCCATGCTGGTTGAGTCCAGGAAAAAGCAACAGGAAGCTTACTAGAGAGGGGGGAAAAAAAAGAAAAAGGGAATTACTTAAGTCCTTTAACAAGCTCCTGTCACCTGCAATTCCCGCGATTCCCTTAAGCCATTAAACAGAAAAATGTAACTCTAAAAAATAAATAAAGACCCCCCACGCAAAATCACCACTCAATCAAAAATTGCTTCTACCCACCTCACACCATTTCAGTTAGCCAGCAAAAAAGTTACTTGTTTTGCATGCTGCACACTTACCGATAAGATAGGTCAGGAAGAGATTGTGAACTTGCTGTCCAATCCAGGCAACCACAGCAAGAGAAAAAAGCATGGTCATGAAGTACTAAAAAAATGAAAAGGGAACAGTTATCACAAACCTGTTGGGAATTCTCTGCCTTTCCCTTCAATATTCAGCAACACTTCAACATACAGAACTAACGAAGCTCGACTCTTCCACATGCGATGCTATGCACAGGCTTGTTAAAACTGACATTAGAGTCTACAGTTGTATGTTCTCATCATTTTCAGATCATCAGTTTTAAGGTATGGCAGTTCTTTTCTGTCCAGACATCCCTAAAAAGTCAGACTGTGCCATCCCCATTGGCACAACCTCAGCCTCACGCAGTACCTGAAGGTGCTTTCAGGATAGTAAACTAAATAGAGTTCACGTACCTAAGCTGACACATCACCAAGATCTGGTATTTTTTTGACATTGTGTACACTGGAGTCAAGCTGTGTTTCCAAAAACTGAACTATCCAAAGCAGCAGAGTTCAGCTTTATCTTAACAGATCAAGGGCATGCACCTAACTGCACAGTACTGCAAGTTTAAAGTCATGTATATTGCCACTCCAGGTTTGAATAAGCTGTGTGACTGGCATTAAGTCATACCAGAACTGCTGGTTCGTGTCTGAATAAACTGGTATTTCAAATCATGTCCCCTGCCACACTTAAGAAAAACAAAACCTTGAGACAAGAGAGATGAACTCCTGGCACTCAATACCATTTTAGGCTTCTCTTCCTTCAGTGTGAAGAGACGTTTCCACCAGCCAACAATCCGGCGACGAGATTTCACCAAACTGCTGCAGATTTCATGAAATCTTTGCTGCTGTTCTGTAGTCCTTTTGTTAAGAAGAAAAAAAAAAAAAAAACAAAAACCACCAGAAATAAGAATTCAAAATCCTATCTGAAATTTAAAAAAATCTCCCATGGTATTTTTCCATCAGTAAAAAAGTTACCTGGTACATATCCCAGCATTTGCTTCACTCAGTTTTATACATATCTATATTGAGAATTGTAATGCAATTGCCCACATAATTTTTCTGTACACTGACACTCAAATCAACTCCCCAGGAGCAGCCCCATTCAAACCAATAGATCACTGATTTAAAACTAATACCAGTGTGATACACACCTGAAACCAGTCTGTATCACCATGGCTTTTATGTTAGCTCATTATTAGAGAAGAACATTTATCCACTAGCCATCTTAAAGCAGATATAGTAAAATTCGTACTTCTAACTCAAAATTTAGTTAAAGCACATAAGAATGAACGACATTTTACTAGTGTTCTCACTTCACACTTTATGGAGATTGCAGATTTGTTACTACCATGACTCTACAAAGTATTCATTTGATATTTGTAAGTCAGACATCCAATTTTATGAAGTTCATACTTTATTTACACTCAAGAAGCTGTTTTAATTCATTTATTTCCTCACCACTTGTTAGAGCCAAAGATTCTAGGTGCAAGAGCCGGAACAAGATAATCAGCCAAACAGAGGAACATAACGAAACAGGAGACACCTGAAAGAACTGATGGGTCCAAGTAGTAGATCATCCTGCAGAAAGAAGACAACAAATGACTTTTCAAATCTCAGACTGCTAAATACAAGACATATTTAGGCACCTCTTCAGACTGGCTCAGGACTGCAAACAGCAGACCTACCCTCTTGCCCAACATAAAAACAAAATTGGCTTCCAACACTAATAAAAAGATATTTAAGTATTTCAACACTATTACTGAGAAATACAGATGAAAAGCAGAATTTTATTATTTTTTTTAAGTGTTAGGTAAAAAAATGCTACAATACAGCAAGCACAACATGAACTTTGGTAGAAGTAAAAATTCATCACCATTGCTCTCTTAGAAGCTGACACCTAGTGAACTCAACACTGACTGGGGGATGAGTGAGTGAACATATAAAATAATCAGGTAGAATGAAACCTCTCATCTTGCTGGTTCTTAAGTAAGTCACAGAAATCAGATCCACTATGGGTTGTCATTTGCTCCGTCTCACCTGTGAGAGCTAACCAAACCTGTTCTGGACAGGCAGCCACAAATCTCCCATTAGGACAGTGTTGTGCTCTCATGTAGTAAGTGTGCATCACTCAAATACAGCAGTATGTATACTGGACAAGAACCAGCTCATCTCACAAGTGTCTCTGAATGCTCAGCTGTGCCCTATGCTACTTATTTGCACTTAACAGAGCTTTATGAACACTGGAGTAATAAACAACACAGTCCATTGTAGGGATAACCTTTCTATACGCTTTGCAGAGTGCTAAATGTGCTGAATGTTCAAGTTTATTTTTGATGAAGTACCAACTCAGAATCTGAATTAGTTCTATTTCCTCAAAGTATTACTCAATACATGATCTTTTCTGCTACAATCACAGCATTTGTGACCTGTACCCTGAAGTTCATGCAATTTTCAGTTTCATTTGGTTCCCATCCTCTTCACCTCCCTTGAAGACCATAAATTTTGATTAGCTAGAAGACTGATTATCCCCTGCCTCACCTGGTTCAGCATTTATTTTTGTAACTCCCCTCTTCTCCTTACTCCAAAGCCACAAGCAACTGGCAAACTGCACAGCTGGCATGGGCACTTATTTGTACAAGGCAGGTTGGGGTCAGCCTGACTACTACCACATAATGTAAAAGCATGTACAAGTGCCTCCAGCAAGCCAGTTCTGTATCTCCAACCTGTGGATGGGGAATCCTCCCATACTGTTGACTGAAAGGTACCTGCAGTCCTTCCTTTTCCTCCTTTCTCAAAGGAAAGGACAGAGAACGTAAACAAACCTGTGCCTGCCTTATGGAAACAAGCTCTCCATAAGATATTGCTATTGGTTTTGGGAAAAAGCCAAAGCAGGAAACAAGATTTCACTAAGAAGCAGGAATATGAACACACTGAGGAAGGACATAAAGCTGAGTGTGGTAAAAACTACAGCAACCTTTTCTGGCAAACAGCTTTCACAGAAAGCGCTCCCCTCCCTCTGAGCTGGATGGGATTCATTTTACTTCCTGGTCTCAATATTTAAGGGTTTAGGTTTTATTTTTAACAAAGTTCGGGTTCTGTTTCTGAATGTGTGGGGAGTAAAAGCCTTCCTATTCAGGTTTTAAAACTGTCTTACTAATTTACTTAGTAGGCTTGCTGCCAGCCATGAAAGTACAATGGTGTTCTAGGCTCCCTTCACAAGTTACTTACAGAAAAGAGAAGGAAACAACACTCATCAGCGCCAGAGGGTACCAGGCTCTCTCCCAGCGAAGAACTTTATCGGTCATCAAAATCACTTCTCCCCATCCTTGCAACTGCTCTTCCAAGCTTGCAGTTTCAGCAGCCTACACAGAAAGGGAAAACTCTATTATTGCTAATCAGAGTACCAAATTAATTCCCACACTCCAAGTAACTTAAAACAAAAAAAAAGTCATAAGACCCAAGTCACAAACTGCTCTGAATAACTTCATTACTAATAAGGTTGTAAGTTTTGCACTAAGTTATGACATCACCGCAGTGATCCTTTAAAATAGTCAGGACCATAACAAGTAGCAGCATATGTTATTAGACCAAATGATACCTCCTCCCAGATTTTGCCAAGGTGTTTTCCCCCCAGTCTCCCATTTACCATACTCCCTCCCCCGATTAGGAGAAAGTTTTAAAGTCTATACAAAAACCTCTGAAGTTTCCAGTGTCAACATCTGGAAAATTACAACATGAAAACTACTTTAAATGTATGCATTTTCAAAGCCAACTGTACCACATTAAACTGAAGCTTTCTAGTTGAAACCCAACACAATCTTTTTATTATGTCGAAGATGGGTAACATAACTGTGGATTCTGAGTTTTTATCCAACTGAATGCAAGTGGACTCCACAGAAAGTTTTTCCACAGGTTGCCCAAGACAAGGCAGCTTCCAAACCCCCTTCATAAATTATTCCTTCCCAGACATCTGCAAGGAGGCCCTATCTGCTCTGGCATCAGCTTACTAAGCAGTTCACCCGAGGTGCTCCACATTTAACATAGCTTAATAGTTTCCCCTCAGGGTAAAAAGGTGTATCTCAGGGATCAGAAGACTCAGGTAGCCATAAGCAGAACCCATCACTGTCCAAGACCTGCACATGTGCCGTACACATCTAGAGCAGGTTTCATTGTCACTTAAACCAGCTGAGAAGCCTGACCCCACTAGAATAACAAGGGCGGCTGAGTGCAGCTATCATGGTAAAGCAGTTTTCTTGTGTGACACTACTGGAAACTATTTGAAACTTCAGTTGAGGACAAAAGTAGAAAACTATCTGACATGCTGCTGAACACCTTCCAGTTTCTCCCGTCTGCTTCATGTTATTGACACAAACCATCACATGGGCGGGGGGGGGAGCTGCATTTCTCCAGAAAACATTTTATAACAAACTTTTTCTTATTTATTACCTCTGTGTGTCCGTTTTTAACATCACAACTAACAGAAAACTTAATGGAAAACAGGCTGGAATATAACAGCATTATTAACAGCAGCGTCTGCCTGCCTTAAAGGCCACAATTATAATTTGCTTTCCCACTGGGCCACACAGAGAAAACGAATCAGCTTTTGCCAACACCACCTTTGTTCCAGGGCCCAGCTATCAAAAAAAAGTATTTTTTCATTAATCAAACAACATAGGTCTCCGAGAATATGAACTCAAGAGACCCGAAAGAGAGACCCCTTTATGTTTTTTTGACAATACAGCTCTGCACACTGCTTCTGCTTAAATTCGAACCTCCCTTTGACCCCCTGCTCCTAGCAGGTTCCTGGTCATCTTCCAGGCTGTGCGACTCCCTGCTGCAGAGTGCAGCACCCATCAATAACGCCATCAAAAGCTGCCCCTCTCCAACCCTTCCGATGCTTTCACAGCCGTTGTCCCATGGTAGCCGTTTACCATAACAGCAATCAATATACATATCCTTGTATTTATTTAAGCATTAAAGTATTCAAGCCCACCCATGACGTATTGAAGCTAATAATCCAACTCCCACCAGTCTCCTGCACCACTGAGGCATTTGCAACACTGCCAAAGAGTACTAAAACAGAGACATGAATATTAAGCGCAAGCCTTGCACATCAGGTAGAACCAGGTATTACGATGAGCTCCGGCCCGCTCCCAGGCACACGCACAGCGCAACCTCGCCAACCCCAGCCCCCGCCAGGCCCTAGGGCACAAACCGATCCCTTACGAGAGCTTTGAGAAGCAAACCCGAGCGCCGTGAGATAGCACCCCTGCGATTCACAAGCTCGGGAGCCGAGGCGGCCATCGGCAGCTGCGGCGCAGATAGGCCCGGCTCCCCCACCTCCCCCGGCACGAGCAGGGCCGAGCAGCCGCCAACCCTTGCCCAGCCACCGGGAGACAAGGCACCTTCCCCGCCGCAGAAGGGACGAGTGTTCCCGGCGCCACCCGCCCTCACCAGCTGGTAGACGCTGCTGTTGTTGTCATCATCCGCCATCTTGCTCTGCACCCAAACAGCCCCACAAAACAGCCGCGCCCTCGTGCGCCACTTTGCGCAGCAGCCTTTTATAGCCTCCGCGGCTCTTCTCTACATCCTGATTGGCCTTCTTTAAACTCAGCACGGGCCAATCCCAGAGCTCCGACCGCGCCCTTTCGGCAGCTGGTTGGCTGGTGGGATTCAAATAGCGACAGGTGTCCAATCAGCGTGGGGTCTCCGCGCCTCCTCCTCCTCCCTCCGTCGCAATGCGACTGGAGCGAGCGTTGGGGCCTGGCTGAGGCGGGGCCGGGCGTTGCCTGTGGGGCTGTGGGGAAGCCCACCCGCCGCCTCGGCTGGGGGGAGCGAGCCAGCAGGCAGCCGTTGACAGCGGCGGTGGCAGTTATCGCCCCGCCGGTACATGAACGTGTAAAAATAAACCTGACACATATAACCCGAACGTGTGATTATTGGGGTGCAAATAAGTAAAAGGTGTGCTGTATAAAAATATGTTCCCTTTTCTTGACATACACTGTAAGTGTACGCGTCCTACAAATGAGACAGACCCTTCAGGTCGAGAATGTCTCAAGGCTAACCAACAGCCCGTTATTACTGAAGTAACAGCACCAGGGGGGCTCGCCAACAACCTTTCTTTGACGTAAGGTTTTGCTTAAAACCCTTTACCTTAAAAATACCTGTTTTCCAGCACAGGTATTCCTGTATTGCACATGACTGAGGCGTCAGCTGCAGACCAGAACCCGGGCACAAGGCTTCCAGATTCGCGCACAGGAAAAGGGTGAGATGACTGTAGAGGAAGGTTCTCCATCCCCAGCCACTGCCTGACCTACCCCTGATAATTAACCTCTGTCCCTAGCTCGCTTGCTTATTTCAGGAGCAGCAGCACAGGGATAGACACAGGAGGAAAGCACCAGGGTATAAATGTTTTCTGACTCAGCTTTCTAAATGTTTCAGGCACACGTGTCAATGAGCTTGATCACAGCCCCCAGGATGCCATGCATGAGATTCCCAGCTGAGGACAAAGAAAACGCCTTATCATTTCTGGCACCAAATGTGCAATACTTTTCCAACCCAGCTCCCCAGCTTGATGGAGAGGTAAAAAAGGACTAGGATGACACTGTAAAAGCAAAAGCATGTGTGTACTGAGGAGTCTGATCATTTACAAGGTGCTTTTCACACTCGTTCAAGATCTCATAAGCAATATAGCTTACTGAACGGCTTCCAAATTCATTTATGTGCTCTTCAGAGTAGTTTTGTGTACCATGTTGTACTTAAAAATGGTGGAGGCCACCCTCTAAATCTGGAAGTTTACCACAGCAAAGCTGAAAAAAGCTAATTTCATAAGAAAGCGATGCCAGCAATAATTCCAATTAGACTTAAGGAAGCACGGACATAGAAGTGTGATGCACTGCTGTTTCTAGGGGTATCCGCAATGTCCTGCAGAAGCCACTTCTCTGGCTATTCAATGCAATCAGCCAGCTCCTGGCTTCATCCATCTGTGTGACTCTGACCACAAACCCAGCACTTACCCATGAAAACAGCAGGTATTTCCATCACCCCCAGCCATGGTCAGATTCATGATCTTCCAGCCAGTCTTTCAAATGCCAGCTCCCTAACCAGCCTACCATTACAGCTTCTGCTACCCTAGAGGGTTCACAGAGGTGCGGTTCCCTCATAGTAAGTGTTCCTCCATCACTTGGAGGGGCAGAGGGAAGAACGGGCACTACAGGATGCCCTCTCCTCCCAGAAATATCACTGGAGACGGGTGCTTGCATTGCAGAGAACAGGACAGCATGGGGCTCCTTCCTTGCTAAGCAGTCAGGCCATTTGCAGTACAATGTGAAGGGAATAAATGCGCTGTGTGCACACATATGCATGCATATGTTTATAAATTTGGTTGTTAAAATCAGAGCCCTAATGCAGAGGGCAGAGAATAGTAATCACAATAACTCAAGAGTGTGGAAAAACCTATTCATCACCTCCCATACATTACCTGAGCTGTGAAATCCAATTATTTTCTGTATGTTTTAATGTATGACACAGGTCATGCTAATGTGATGCATTCTTCCTTTGCTGAGATTTTCACTTAGCAGATGCACAGAAACATAAATGCCCAAGCTAACTTCAAAGCATCTCTAAAAGGAGCAGTTTAATTGCTGTGTGCAGTTAGAGACACAGATTTCACATTAAACCTCCACCCATTCATCACACCTAATACAACAAATGCATGGCAAACTTTCTTATGCCATTCACAAAACATTAGTCTGATGAATGGCAAAATTGTTCTAATCAGTTATGCATTTAAGTACATACAACAGTAGTTTTATGCAATATCTGTATTTTCAATTCTTTAAAACGTTGAGTCTACTCAGAAATAATTATTTTCCACTAAATAAAAATATATGCACGTAACTAGGAACTGTGTTAAGAAACAAAAAGATGGGTGGCAGGTGTCATCTTGAAACTTTTTTGCTAGTCCAATTCTTTAATGTATAAATGTATCATGTAAAATGTATAATGTCTGTTAATTTTAGGAAAAAGCTTGCAAAAAAAAAGAGGAAAAAATCCCCAAAACTTTGTAAGTATTTGAGTGAGCTAAAACAGAATCACCAGATGTACCAGGCACAGGACACTGATGAATAATTGAAGCAGAGAAACCTTCATGAATACAGCATTTACAAAGATGCAGCTTTAACATCTCCAATCCCCTCCAGTATTTCTGAAGGGATGTTTTTATGTGGTGCTTCCCATTCAGACATCCCGCAGCTGGCAACAGGATAAATGTTACTGGTCAGTTTATTGGAGAGTGGAGAGTGCTGTGTGGTGTCACCCACAGGGTCTGTGCAATGAAACACCACCCTGCCTGTGCATGGTAACCTTGCACGGCCTTTTACAGTCATCTCATTCTTCCTTGAAGAACTAGCTTCCTCTGACTCTTGACTGATTTATATAGGAGAATCAAGTCTCTTACAGCTATTAGTAACATATTATCTATTTTTTCAACCTAAATAGACTAATTCTGAAGGCAGAACTAACTTTTGCAAAGCAAATCCAGATCATGGAGCCGCTGCAAAGTACCAATATCATTTCTCTTAACTTGTACACGTTCCAATTTAGTTACATTAACTCGATACTGCATTATTCCAGCAAAATAACATAAGGACTCCCACTTAGCACATCCCAGCAACGCGTTTGGTAGAGCACTGCTCACACCTAGGCATTACAGAAGGGGACCGGGAAGAGAAGGTAAAGTAGTAAATGGATTTTCAAAGGTTAACAGTAAGTCAACCAGTAGCTTGTATAATTGGGAGTGGAAAACAGCTTAAAACTGATGAGCCTACTTGGAATGTGACTTTGAGAAATGACTTTATAGCATGGTCCCTGGGTTGGCATTTACTGCAGGCAGACATCAGGCGCAAACTGGGCATCAAGTGAATGGTTTGAATTCAGCCAGTTTGTACGTATTTAACAATGATCTGATTCTAGATTTATGTTGTTTTAGATAATTCTGTATTACTGCAGAAAAAATGCAAATGGCTCATTTGCATGAGTAAAAAAAGAGTAACCTTATCTTTAGAAGAAACAGTCTTTTAAAGAATGTCATAACTAATGCAATCTGATTTAATATGCAAGATGCACACACAGAATCTGCATCTTGGATTTAACCAAGACTGTGCCAATTGACCACACTGTCAAAATCTATGAAGAAAAAACTTGTCAGCACACAAAAGCTAATGGTCCCACTACTGCCTCAGCAGGTAAGGTCTTGCTTCAACATTAGCTATGCAAATTTAGAAATCTGTAGAATCATGCTCCAATTCAGAATCACAGAATAGTTAGGGTTGGAAAAGACCTTAAGATCATCTCGTTCCAATCCCCCTGCCATGGGCAGGGACAGCTCACACTAAACCATGTCACCCAAGGCTCTGTCCAACCTGGCCTTGAACACCCCCAGGGATGGAGCATTCACAACCTCCCTGGCCAACCTATTCCAGTGCCTCACCACCCTAACAGGAAAGAACTTCCTCCTTTATCCAATCTAAACTTCCCCTCTTTAAGTTTTAACCCATTACCCCTTGTCCTGTCACTACAGTCCCTAAGAACAGTCCCTCCCCAGCATCCCTATAGGCCCCCTTCAGATACTGGAAGGCTGCTATGAGGTCTCCATGCAGCCTTCTCTTCTCCAGGCTGAACAGCCCCAACTTTCTCAGCCTGTCTTCATACAGGAGGTGCTCCAGTCCCCTGATCATCCTCGTGGCCCTCCTCTGGACTTGTTCCAACAGTTCCATGTCCTTTTTATGTTGAGGACACCAGAACTGCACACAATACTCCAGGCGAGGTCTCACGAGAGCAGAGTAGAGGGGCAGGATCACCTCCTTCGACCTGCTGGTCACGCTCCTTTTGATGCAGCCCAGGATACGGTTGGCTTTCTGGGCTGCAAGTGCACACTGAAGCTGGCTCATGTTCATTTTCTCATCGACCAGCACCCCCAAGTCCTTCTCCGCAGGGCTGCTCTGAATCTCTTCTCTGCCCAGCGTGTAGCTGTGTCTGGGATTGCTCCCACCCAGGTGTAGGACCTTGTACTTGTCATGGTTAAACCTCATGAGGTTGGCATCAGCCCACCTCACAAGCGTGTCAAGGTCCCTCCGGATGGCATTCCTTCACTCCAGCATATCAACCGAACCACACAGCTTGGTGTCATCGGCAAACTTGCTGCGGGCGCACTCCATTTGGGCTTTACTTTGTATCTGTTTGTGGGAACACTTCATTCTCCCCCATAATTTTCACAACCACAGTAGTTTTGCATACAAGGAAATTATGGATACATGTTCTTTTTTTTAAAACTTTATTAAATTACGCAGTAAGAACCCATCTCCACACAAGTGTTTCATTTCTGGATAGCAGAGGTATAATACATGAGCCACAGGTGAGTGCATTACCCCTCCCTTCCCCCCAGCTTC